GATGAGTTCTTTAGTGGCTGGGATTCAAAACCAGGCTCAAAATACTCGTATAAATAATAATGTTAATGCGAGTTGTGATATTTCCTACTGGAACACCAACTTCACACAGTGATTTAACGTATCGTCCAGATAAAGTTGGTCATATTTTGAATAGCTGGAAGTTGCTTTTCAATCGAATTCTGGAGGGCATTAGCGTCGCTAATTTTTCGCCGTCGCGAAGCGCTTTTAAAGATCGTAAAGCGAGGCTATAGTTTCCAAAAAATAGTTCCTTTTGGAAAGCAAGTTTCTGAGCTTGTTGAGGACAGTGGCATCGATTTTTAGATAGCATTTAATCTTTTGCCGCCAGACAGAGAAATTACTGAACTGTCATCAGATACACATAACTTATCGGTTTTACAAAGGGAAAGCTTTCAGGCGGTAATTAACAAATTTCCTTCATTTGTAGTTTCTGGTCTTGGCAAGATGTAAAGCGAATTAAACAGCGTCATTTTTCTATTTCTCCGGCACAAGAAAAACTTCTTTATGCTAAAATTGATCGCATGCAAGAAGTTATAGAAAAAGTAGACGGTGCTTGGTCTTCGCCAGTTGTTTTAATACAGAAGCCAGAAAAATTTCGCATTTGTTTGGATAGCAGAAATGTCAATGCTGTATCGCGAAAAGACGCGTACCCGCTTCCACAAATTGATGGCATTTTAAAACGTTTACCAAAAGCAATGTTTATATCGAGTCTGGATTTGAAAGATGCCTATTGGCAAATTCCGTTAGATGTTTCGTCGCGAGACAAAACAGCATTTACGATAACGGGAAGGCCGCTTTATTACTATAAAGTCATGCCATTTGGTTTGACCAACGCCGCGGCATCAATGACTCGTCTAATGGATAAAGTTATTCCACCATCAGTTAGCATTTCTTTATACACTGCGACGCTAGCAAAACTGGAGTCGGAGGTGTCCTGGTTCAAAAGACTGAAGATGGAAATGAATATCCCATAGCTTTTGTTTCGAAGAAACTTAACAAGCCGCAAAAAAATTATACCGTGGCTGAGCAAGAATGTTTAGCAGTTTTAGTAATGTAAAAAACTATATAAATTCCTGCGAAACGTGTAAAATGACTAAAGCCACAAATACAGTACAGCGTCCGCCAATTGGAAAGGCCCCAGAATCACAGAGATTCTTTCAACGATTGTACAAATATATTGATTTTTTAGACCCGTATCCTCGTTCTCGTAGTGGAAATATTGTTATTTTTGTTGTTATGGACCACTACACCAAGTTTGTTTTTCTTAAAGCAGTGAAAAAGCTGACTGCAGATGTTTTCGTAAAATACATGAAGCAGGAGCTTTTCCACACATTTGGAGTGAGACAGTTGTTTCAGACAATGGTTCTCAATTTAAGGCTGAAGCTTTTCAAAAGTTGCTTCGGTAGCATCAATCTGTTCATACAATGACAGCTGTATATTCGCCACAGGCTAATGTGTCCGAGCGCGTATTCCGCTCAATTGTTGAAGCCATTCGGTCGTATATAAGGCCAGATTAAAAGGAATGGGACGAGCATTTGAGCAGTATAAGTTGTGCTTTAAGGTCAGCTGTTCATTCCGGAATTTCTGGTGTTCGGTCAACAATTTTTAAATTCTAATTCAACATACAAATTGTTGAGACACTTGAAATTGCTAGAAGATAAAGCAGCTGTTTATAGCAAGGAAGATTCCCTCGAACTTATACGAAGCGAGGTAATGAGAAAAATGAGCGCAATTACAATTTACGCTAAAGAGCAGTTTCGTATAGGGTAGGTCAGGAAATTTACAGGAGAAATTTTCGGCAGAGTAATTTCCAAGCAAGCAATTTCTAACACAAAATTGGGACCTGCCTATATCAAAGCTCGTGTCCGAAGTAAAATTGGCAATTGCTATTACGATCTGGATCTCCAGGGTCGATTTATTGGAAAATATCACGCAAAAGACTTAAAGCAATAGCTGCTTCAAGCTCATGTGTGATCAGCCTTGATGTTTTTTAAAACCACCAAGTCTGATTTTGGTGGAGGCATTTGTAGCGCTTTCAGCAGCCACTGTTTTGGTTAAATTAATGCAAAAGGCGAATATCGTAATTATTTTAGCGCCACCTCTTGGTTGTGTGAGGGAAAGGCGCAAGCAGGTCAATAGGATAACTCCTTGCTTAACAGGGGCAGTGTCACTTTCGCCGAAAATGGCTACTTTCAGCTCGCTAACCTACCGCCTCTGTAAAAAGGTTCCCGCCTAGTCCAAGGCGTCATATTCTTTTCTTTTCTGGTGATACTTGTTCGAGAGCAGACTTGTGCGAATTGAAGTTCAAAGTTTTTTTTTTAAATCAAAGTCAAGCAAAAAATTTTAAAGTGGCTAAAAGGCGTAACAAAATTGGTTTTACTAAAAGAAAATAAAAAACAAGTAAAAAAGCTAAAGTCGGGTGTCCCGACTTTGAAATACTCTGTACATATGTTTACAATAATTATAGAAAATAAAAAAATTAAGAAAATTAAAAAAAAAAATTTGATCGATATAACCTTTCTCGGTATTCGAACTCAGGGTGTATAATTGCACATTTACATAGCAATTGCGTCTGTGTGAGTGTATGTATGCCTATGCGCATCGTGTCTGTGTAAACATGTGTGCAGTCAACCAAAGCACCAGCATCAACAACAGCCGCGGGAAGCGCTTGAGCAGCGCTGCAGCAGCAAATATATTTATGGCTATAACTTCTTGTTAAATCGGTCTATCATAGTGAAACTTGGCACACGGACACATAATAACCAACTGGGGGTATTTCCAAAATTTTAGTTCGAAATTCCAAGAAGACGGACAGACAGACAGACAGGGCTAGATCGACTCGTCTTGTCACGCTGATCAAGAATATATATACTTTGTGGGTCTGCCACGTCTCCTTCTGCCTGTTACATTTTTCAGCTCCCGCAACCCTAATATACTTCTGTACATTTCATGTACAGAGTATAACAAGATAGAACGCTACAGTCGAGCAAGCCCGACCGTAAAATAGCCTGTACTCTCCACAAAAAAGAAAAATTTAAAAAGAAAATTAAAAATAAAAATGTAAAAATTAAATTTAAAAAAAATTTAATTAAGTTATTAAGTTAACTAAGAAAATTTATTTAATACATTCATAGAAGACATCTTTACATTTAGAGTTTTACATTTACATCACGTGTCTATGCTTGTTTATATACGTGTATGTATGCAGCATAATGTTAAACCAAAGCAGCAACAACAATAACAGCTGCGGGCAGCACTGCAAGCAGAGCATGAGCAGCGATTTTATTTATGGCTATAATTTTCTTCAGAATTTACCTATCATGATGAAACTTGGCACACGGACACATAAGCACTAACTGGATGTAACTATCAAAATTCCAAAAATTACGGAATTCATAAACAAAAACACGAACTGCGGGGGAGTGGGGGGTGTATCAGAATAAAAAAATAAACTTGACCTGCATAGGGCTTAGGGGAACCTCGATACCAAGTTTGGTTATTCTAGCTCTTGTACTTCCTGAGATCGTTGCGCTCATACAGACAGACGGACGGACGGACATGGCTATATCGACTTGTCTTGTCATCCTGATCAATAATATATGTATATACTTTGTGGGGTCTGCCACGCCTCCTTCTGTGTGTTACATACATGTGCACAAAACTAGTATAGCCTTTCACCTATTGGGTACAGGCTATAAAAAGTTTGTGTTATACATTTCGTCCAATCGAGGTCAAATTTGGGTAATGTAATCTACTTAACTAAATCTACAACTTTGCGTTCAAGGATTTTCAAAATTAGCATTTTACAAATTCAGGCAGAACAAACAATACAAAATATCAAACAGTTGGGGACAACTAAGTATACATACACACACACACACATGCAACAGCTGTTCGTGTAGTTGCGTGCAAATGATTGAAATAGCCAAAGCAAAATGTGAGACACAAATGTGTGAATGTACACACATACATATGTACACATCTATGTATGTATGTATGTTCATTCGTCTTGCACTGACAGAGCAAGAAATGTTAATTAATGAAAAATTATTTAACATTTTTAAAAGTAATTTTTTCTTTCTTTAGTACATTTGGCATTAGGGTTTTCATTAGTAACGCAAATATCAAATAGTTGGGGACATCATATACACACACTCACACACAGAACAAGCAACAGTTCGTGTCTATGTGTGCTGCTCAAGCGCTGCCCGCGGCTGTTGTTGATGTTGCTGTTTGGCTAACATAGACACGAATAGATGCGCATAGGCATACATACACTCACACAGTGTTGCTATGTAAATGTGCAATTATACACCCTTTACGTGAGTTCGAATACCAAGAGAGGTAAAGTCCATCAAACAAATTTGTATACCCTGTACCCAAAGGGTGCGAGTGTACATAGAACACACAGAAGGAGGCGTTGTAGACCCCATAAAGTATATATATTCTTGATCAGCATGACAAGCCGAGTCGATATAGCCATGTCCGTCTGTCTGCCTGTATTAACGCAAGGATCTCAGAAAGTATAAGAGCAAGAATAACCAAACTTGGTATACAGATTCTCCTGAGCCCGAGAAAGGACGAGTTTGTTGTTTTTCCTGATGCACCCCCCCCCCCCCCACTCCCCCCTATTCACGATTTTCTATAACTCAGTTAATTCTTGGAATTTTGAACTAAAATTTGGTAGTCACATTAAGTTAGTAATTATATATCAGTATACCAAGTTTCATTATGATAGGATCAGAAAAAAAGTTATAGCCATATAACCATGCCCAATGCACACATACATACATATGTACAAGTACACAAACACGCATAGACACGATTCTGATGTAAATGTAATGTTTTTAATTCTTTTAATTTTTTAATATCTCTAATTATTCTAAACATATGAACAGAGTATTTCAAAATCGGGACACCCGACTTTAGCTTTTTTACTTGTTTTAACATTTATATTTAATTACTATGGATTACATATACAGGCAACCCCAAAAAAACACTCTTCACATCGCTGTAGTCGTCTGCGGTCAACGAGTTCAGGAAACCCTTGTTATGATCAAATCCGCCATTCTTTTTAATCATTATCAAGAACTAATAAAATTTTTAATATTCACTGAGGACAGATTACGTGAAATCTTTAAAGAGAAACTTGAGGATTGGCGTAAACTACTACCACATTTATTTGATTTCGAGCTTTTTCCCTTAAGTTTTCCTTCCCAGAGTAAAAAAGAATGGAGAAATCTTTTTAAGCCTTGTGCCTCCCAACGTTTATTTTTGCCAGTAAGTATTGATGAAGGCAATTATATTTCAAAGCAATGATTTAACTAAATTATCTCTTCTAGTCGCTTTTACCTGAGGTTGATTCACTGCTTTATGTGGATACAGATGTTTTGTTTTTGTCTCCCATATCAGATGTATGGGAATATTTCTACAAATTCAATGACAGTCAATTGGCAGCCCTTACTCCTGAGCATGAAAATGAAAACATCGGCTGGTACAACCGTTTTGCACGGCACCCGTATTATGGTCGGCTTGGAGTGAACTCTGGTGTAATGTTAATGAACTTAACCCGAATGAGAAAATTTGAATGGGAAAAACACATTTTACCCATTCACAATGAGTACAGGCTGCGAATTACTTGGGGAGATCAAGATATAATAAATATCCTATTTTACTATCACCCGGATAAACTTTATATTATTCCGTGTGAATATAACTACCGTCCAGATCACTGTATGTATATGAGTATATGCACCTCATCGCAAAAAGGCATTAAAATAATACATGGTAATAGAGGATATTTTCATTCCGATAAGCAGCCATTGTTCAGAATCATATATGAAGCTATCGAAAAATACCAAGTAGGTACAAGTCCTTATCAAAACTTTCTATTGCCCCTACAATCATCATTAATCCAACAAAATATAAATGATTCCAACTGCGGGAAAATTTCAAATCAAGCCGTTCTTATTGCAAACAACTTATTTATAAATGAATACCTTTAAAATTCGAACTTAAGCCTGCCTGAAAAATAATTCGTTATTGTTCGAACATGTGCCTTTCGAAATTTATTTATAAATGTAGAACGTCCTTTAATTTATTAATTATCAAGGATAAGAGTAAATGAAGACCAAAAATAGTCTTTTCCGATTGCAATACATGGTCATAAGTATTATTTTTTAAGAGTAAGATAAATTTCTTAAGTTGTAATCCATAATTTAAATATACCTACATATCTAAAATACTGTTTGTTTTATTTGCTTACAATATGTTCAATTGCTATTAACAATGAATAGGCATACTCTCAAGGAAGTTAAATAAAAGTCACATTTTCCTAGAAAAAGTCAAACACTATTTGTAAGGTAGTAAATGTGTAACATAAACATTTATGTCGTTGTGAAAGTAATGTGTTCAAGTAATGGTTGCTGCAAGCATCGCATGGACAAAAAAGATACTGTATAATACTTGTAGAATCCAAGTCATGACGCTGTGGTTCCACACCAGAGACCTGCAACGAGTACTACATTTTCGGTCATACTCGAGTATTTACTCATACTCGGTATGATTATTTCATTTGGGTATAGTGACAAGCAATGACTGGTTTTAAACGAACTCGCACCAACCAGTCAGTTCGACTCAAAACTGCAAAAACTCAGAATGAGCGGTTGTGACCGAAACTTCTTGCATGAATGCAAGCAATGATCGAACGTCATATTTACAATCATGCCCGCCTGACCGAAATGTTCGGTAGAGTTTGGGTAATTCTCGAGTCATGGCAACCGAGCAATAATATCGGCGCGTGCACGTGAACTTGCATTTTCCACCCTTTTTTCGGCTATAGCAATTTCATATACAAGTATATGCATATACTATATATAATTAAAGAATCCAAAAAAACTATTAGCTAAAATAAATACCTTCCTTTTTATTTAAATTAAAAACAAGTAAAAAAGCTAAAGTCGGGTGTCCCGACTTTGAAATACTCTGTACATATGTTTACAATAATTATAGACGAAAAAAAAATTAAAAAAAAAAAATTTGGTTCTATTCGCATAAGGCATCTTGTGCTAAAATTTGGTGTACCTAGGTCTTATAGTCTCCGAGATATAGGCGATTATATGAATGGAAAATCGGGAAAACCCTCATAAGAGGGAAGTGGGAGGGGGGGGGGGGGGGGGGGGGGGGGAATAAAAAATATAAAACAAACTTGCACAGCGTACACACATACGGCATCTTTGTTCAAGATTTTGTGTCTCTAGCTCTTATAGTCTCTGAGATCCAGGTGTTCATACGGACAGACAGACAGGGCTAGATCGACTCGTCTTGTCACGCTGATCAACCTGCCTGATTACAGATTATATGTCTGTATGCCAAGTTTCACTACGATAGAGCGATTTAACAAGAAGTTATAGCCATAAATATATTTGCTGCCCAAGCGCTGCCCGCAGCTCTTGTTGATGCTGGTGCTTTGGTTGACTGCAAACATGTTTACACAAAGGAGCAGGACGGCAATAGTTTACCTTAGGATGTAGGAGTATTGGTAAGGATAGTTAAGTTAATATTTAAAATGGAGTTTTAGTGAAGTTTGAGCAAAAAAGAGGAAAGCTGCCTGTTTCCGTTGCTGGTAGATGGCAGCGCAGACCCGCTCGCATTTCTGGGCAATGTAGAAGAAAGGGCAGATCTGGACATGCTACCGCTGGACCTCTTGGTGCCGGTTATATCGTTGCTCCTGGTGGATGAAGCTCTGTGGTGGGAACGTGCAAGGCGAAATCCGACCCAGCGATGTGCCGAGTAGCGCGAAGTCCTGCTGAAAGAGTTCGAAACTTCCCCTTACCTGGAACAGGGCCGCCAGAATGCTCGACAACGGATCCAAGGCGAGTTGGAAACGACCGAATCGGACGTAACGGCGATGCTGGGGCGCACGATTGACGCGAAGATAGCGTCGGAGGAGCAGCATGACGGTGAGAAGCTGGGCCTGGAAAGCGTCCAACCCACGTGTACATTTGCCGCGCCGATTTCCCCCCTATGGGGGTTTTCCTGATTTTCCATTCATATAATCGCCTATATCTCGAAGACTATAAGACCTACGGGCACCATTTTAGTCCCAGATGCCTTATGTAAATACGCAGAAAATGTGTATTTTGGAATTTCCCTCCCACCTCCCACTTCCCTCTCCCATGCAAATCGCGATTTTCTCTAGCTCCCTTAATTCTTGGAATTTCTAACGCAAATTTTGCAAATACCTTCAGTTAGTTATTATGTGTCCGTATGCCAAGTTTCACTATGATAAATATATATATAAATATATTTGCTGCTGCAACGCTGCTCAAGCGCTGCCCGTGGCTGTTGTTGATGTTGCTGTTTGGTTGACTGCTAACATGTTTACTCAGACACGTATATACGAGCATATACATACATACACTCACATAGACGCAATTGCTTTGTATATGTGCAATTATACACCCTTTACGTGAGTTCGAATACCAAAAGAGGTAAAATCGATCAAACATTTTTATTGTAATTCTCTTACTTTTTTTAATTTCTATAATTGTTCTAAACATATGTTTTGCCTGAATTTGTAAAGCGATAACAGTATTTCTATATTTTGAAAATCCTTGAATGCAAAGTTGTAGATTTAGTTACGTAGATTACATTACCCCCATTTTAAATCGATCGGACAAAATTTATAACATAAAATTATCATTTGAAAAAGTGAATAAATATTAAAACCCCACTAATTCAAGCTCCAAGACCAACTTCAAACAAGAGAGAACGCTACAGTCGAGCAAGCCCGACAGTGTAATACCCTGTACCCAGGTAAACTTCCGTCACTGAGTTATATGCGCCCATAGCAGCAGCAAAAAGAGGAAGAAGAAGAGCGAACTTGTTGCTGCAGTTTGTGGGGGTTGTACTGGCGAGAATTTGTTTTGCTAATAACTTTCTTAGAATTGACCGGATTGAATCAAATTTTGAACAACAGTAGACAATTATATATAAATTATGTGTGCAAAGTTTGGTTTAGGTAGCATTTGAAATGTGGACGCTATTGACGAAATTCTGTAGCGGGGGAAGGGGAGGAAAATTAAAAAAAAATAAAATAAACTCGTCCTTTCTCTGACCTAGGAGAATCTGGATGCCAACTTTGGTTATGCTAGCTTTTATAGTTTCTGAGATCCTTGCGTTCATCCAGACGGACAGACGGACGGACATGTCTAGATCGATTTCTCTCGTCATGCTGATTCAGAATATATATACTTTATGGGGTCGGAGATGCTTCCTTCTTAATGTTACATACTTTGCACAAACCTAATATACCCTTTTTACCCTACGGGTACAGGGTATAAAAATTAAATAATAAATTAAGTTGTGATAGCGACATAGAAGATTTGCTGGACAAATTTAAAAAACTTGATAGTAAAGTCCGTGTAAAAAACCATAACGAAAAAGAGTTAGGTATGGCTATGTCTTCAGAGCAATTACAGACAGTAATAGAAGCGGCAGTCAACAATGCACTTGCCGCTCGAAAAAGATGTTTTGATGCACAGATACAAGATCTGAACCAACGTTTAGGCAGTGTCTGTGTTGGGGCTCCAGAAGTAGAAAAATACAGGGACGCAGAAATTCGTGCAATGATTAAGTGCAGTGAAACATTAGACATTGTGAAATCTTTGCTGGACTTCGAAGGAAAACATGAGACGTACGTCTCATGGAGGAAAGCGGCACACACCGCCTATAAAGCTTACGAGAAATATGACGGTAGTTCAACACACTACCAGGCTTTAGGTATAATGAGAAACAAGATTAAGGGACCAGCTGACATGGTACTAGCATCATTCGACACGCCCCTGAATTTTAAAGCGATTATAAATCGACTTGACTTTACGTATGCGGACAAACGCCCCATTTAATAGAGCAAGAAATTTCGACACTCCTACAGTACTACGACGAAATAGAAAAGAAACTCACCTTATTAACGAACAAAACGATCATGACTTACGACTCACCATAGCTGTCGCACTGAATGAAAAGTATAGAATGGACGCTTTACGAGTGTTCATTTCAGGAACGAAGAAATCATTGAGCATCGTTCTGTTTTCGGCAGGACCGAAAGATCTTCCTTCCGCTTTGGCTCTAGCCCAAGAGGTTGAATCTAATCACGAAAGCTACACGTTCGCCAGTAATTATGCTCGAAGTATTGAAGAAAGGGCCCAAAGGAACGAACATAGGCAACAAGCCAGAGACAGAATGCCGGCAGGGGAAAACGGTAATAACACATATTGGAAAAACCCCCACTTTAGTAAACGACAGGCACCTCCTAACGGACCTCCTCAGAGACAAGAACAACCTCAACCAATGGAAGTAGACAATTCATCAAGGTTTAGACAAGTCATGCAGTATCAAAACCAGGGTAATACTAACACTCAGGGACAGGCTGACAAAAGACCAAACAGTGGAACTGCAAGGTTTACGGGACCAAAACACCAAAGAATGAATCATTTGACCCAAGATGACTCTCTGCCGGACCCAGACACCATTGAATACCAGACTGACACAAACCAAGAGGCAGATGACATTAATGATGACCTTGTAGTGTACGACCAAGTTAATTTTTTGAGCACAACTCCCTGCTACCGAGCATAATGCTCAAATATTTTACAAGCCAGGGAAGGAAAATTGCGTTGCAGATGCTTTGTCAAGACAAGGCATCGACGTTTTGGAGGAAGATGCACAGTCCGATATTGCAACGATACATAGCGAGTTGTCACTCACTTACACTGTTGAATCAACAGATAAACCAGTCAACTGCTTTCGAAATCAAATAGTAATAGAAGAAGGTGGATCTGGCTCAGATAGGACTGTTATTATGTTTGGTGAGAAAACTCGTCACCTCAAGTAGAGAAACGTTAATTCAGAGAGTATGTGACGCGGTCAAGAAGGACGTAGTAAACGCAATTTTCTGTGAACTACCAACAGCAGAAAGAAATAGTTGTCACAGAGCACAATAGAGCTCATAGGGCCGCTCAAGAAAACGTAAAACAGATTCTCCAAGACTATTTTTTTCCCAAGATGACCCAACTTGCAAACGAGGTGGTTGCAAGTTGCAGAATTTGTCAAAAAGAGAAGTATGATCGGCACCCTCAGAAGCAGGTACTTGGAGAGACACCTATTCCGTTGCGTGTGGGCGAGATATTGCACGTCGACATATTTTCAACTGACAAGAAATATTTCCTCACTTGTATAG